CATCACAATATGGTAAGGGGCGTAACATTTCCGTCACATGCTTGAGGTATTCGGCCAATCATAACGCACTGGATAGCTGGCCAATCAGAGCACACCTCGCTTTTCAGACCGATGAGCTTTGTAAAACTCGACGCATTTCAGAAAGGCGGGGCATAGTGGAGAAACAATAATGTACAGTATGGGGAAAATAATGTGTTTTTTTAACCTTAAACCGCATAAACACATTTCATTACACCAAATACACAAATTAATATTCTTTTTAGCAACATCATATGACCCCTTTAAGAACAGACATGAGGCCAAAGTCGCAGTTGGGCAATACTGTCTGCATAGACTTCGTAATTCCTCTATCAGCTTTTTTTTGTTCCTCTGAGTGTTTCAGAGGGCAATGAATAAACAAAAAAGAGCTCAGCTCTGGAGTTCACAGTATCAGAAACTTTATAATGATTTGCACTTGAAAGGGAATTTCGGGGAGTTTTAAATTTAGGGAACGTGTGGTTCTTAGAATAACCTCAAGCCTGTGCAATACCTAAATAAGCCTCACAAAGCAGAAAAAAACCCAAAAGGTTCTGAACAGAAGTGACTTGAGGTCACAAGTATCCAATTTTATCAATTCAAAAACAAACACTGCTAAAAAAAAAGAATTAAGGCTAATTGAAATATACTGATATTCGACAGAAAGCATTCAAATCTCTTAAACCGAAGTATAGTAAAACCCCAAGCAGAAGTGTGCATGATCTTTTTGTGTGGTTGGTTTGTATTGTGGCACTCAGAGAAAGCCTGATGTGAAGGATGAGCACAGATCACCATGGACTTTGCACCCACGTCAGGATCTCATGACTCTCTGCTCTGATTTTTATGTTCAGTGAACTTTTTTTTTTCCTTCAGAGCCTTCTGTTTTGCAGGAGAGGAAGGAGTTTCTTTGGAAGGAAGGAGAGTTTTCCTCCCTTCGGTAAAGGCACAGGCAGCGATATCGCCAGAGGTCGACCATTAAAAGATCTGTCAAAACATATCAACTCTAAGCCTGCTTATGAGGGGGAAGGCAGATATACAGAAAGAGTATAAAAGAAAAAGATACACACCTACTCAGCACTGCATGTTGGGTTGTCACAACTGACTTTATCTGCTGGCCGAGAGAGCTAAAGATGTCACTGTCGTTTGCACTGTCAGCAGAATCTGCTAATGAGATGATAATACAATCGAGTTTGGAAGACGTTGAGTTTGAGTTTGAAAATCAGTCTCATTTATTAGTGTTAGAAGTCTATAAAAGCTGTATTAGGAAGGAACAGATCATAAATATAAATACAAAGAAATGTGTCAATGTGTATATGAGCACATTTACAACCAAAAGCAAAACAAGACGAAAAAGGAGGAACCACCCAAAATAACACCATTGTTCATCTAATCAGACAAACTTCCCTTTAAGGCCAAGGAACCATGGGAATAGGAGTCATGGGAATAGAAGCCATGGCAACGGCCAGTCAGGGTCAAGAAACGTTTGTTCAGGACTGCTGTCTTATCACTCGACCAGCGAGAGGAAATATACATCTGTCAATCAATAGCTGACTGATGCTGCAGTTTTCTAACTGGATGAGAACTGAGGTCATGTTCTGCGAAGGGGAGTCTGGGTCTGGGCCTTGTGTCTGTCGCTCTTTGCTGATCCACCACATGTTCCTGCAATGTTTAACCATGGCTTGTACCTGAAAGAAACTCTAGAGCAATCAGTATTTAATTCTTAGGAATATCTATGGTGGATGATAAATTTTAAATTCTGTATGCCTCATGCTAGTATCTATAGTCATCAAAAATGACCATCGAAATAACCTTGATGTTCAAATGAAGATAATGTTGTTATCTTCCGATAATGGACGGCATTGAGAGTTTAACTGACATAGAAGCCACTTCAAATTTGTTAAAAACAGGAATAACAGCCACTGTGCTCTGCAGCCAAAGGAAGTTCTTAACAAGTAGAGGGTGTGGCCTGGGAAAGGTTGTAGATGAACCCCGTCCTCACTCTGATTGGCTGATGGTGGATGATAAATTTTAAATTCTGTATGCCTCATGCTAGTATCTATAGTCATCAAAAATGACCATCGAAATAACCTTGATGTTCAAATGAAGATAATGTTGTTATCTTCCGATAATGGACGGCATTGAGAGTTTAACTGACATAGAAGCCACTTCACATTTGTTAAAAACAGGAATAACAGCCACTGTGTTCTGCAGCCAAAGGAAGTTCTTAACAAGTAGAGGGTGTGGCCTGGGAAAGGTTGTAGATGAACCCCGTCTTCACTCTGATTGGCTGAAGCCCTGGATCTGTTCCTTGGTTTAAAACACTTTCTGGGTTTTTATTCCCTAGAAAACACAAAAGCATAACAATTAATTTTTATATTTTTAGTGGGGCTTAAATCATCAAAACGTCTAGGAGATGTGAAGAGACTTTAATATTTTAAAACATTTTGTTGGTTAAATAACAGCCAATGTGATGCAACGAACACGCAACAACCTATTCTGGATAAAATTGATAAAAATAGGAAATTATAATCACAGAGGTCCCCTGTCACTGTCACTGTCAGTAAGTAACTTATTATTATTTTAATTATAACTTGATATTTTTAAAGTATGAAAACAACATGAATACAAATGATACATTTCTAAAAACCTGGCATCTGCATTTTGAACGGCAAGATTTCTCTTTATCACTTTATTTGACCTATGAGCAACCCTTTAGTGTTGACAACTGTCTCTCTAGTTTACCTTAGTAAGTTAAGTGACTCATGTTTCTGGTAAATGATATAAAAAAAAATGCACAACAGACATGACAAGAAAAATAGGGGTTGGTTTTACTTTGGCAGAGACTGACATCATGAAGGTATTATACAGAAATATACAGTATACACACAGACATTAATTTGAGTGAAAGTTTGTGGGAGGAAAAATCAATCCTCCACAGAGCCTTTAGGTCGAACCCCCATTGTAATCTACGATACTTTAAGTCTTGGTGAGGAACTGAAACAGTTAAATGTCCAATATGAATTCCTATAAAACCCAAGCAAACATACTCCTAGTGAGCAGCTGAGGGAAATGAGCACCAAATTTAATGTGGCCAGGCTTGTGGGAGAAGACAGTGTAGAACATGGCTAAGTACACATCCAGCTATGTTTTACTACTGTCATTCCTGTGGCCGTGATGCTTATTATGAAACCTCTTGATGCCCAAGCTCTGGTTTTTCATGAGAAAAACGTCTCCCATGAGGCTGGGTGCTAGTCTTGTTTCATTTTCAGTCTAAACCTCATGATGGGGCCCTAGAATAGAAGGCAAATACATGAGCATCAAACTTCCAGTGAAGCCCCACTCCTAATGGCAGCGATAAACATCTGTATCGGGTGGAAGATCACTGTTGGCACTCCCATTGGTAGTCCCTGCATTGCTTATTTGTATAAAGCTGTCGCATCAGCAACAATCTCTGTTACTTGTGTCTTGGAAATCGCCGGCTTTCACTGAAAATGACTGCTGTCCGTTGCTTTGACATTGCACTTTGTTATCAGTGTGTGAACGCCCTTAGGATCCATGTACACTGCACTGTGCTAAAGCTAGCACAACCTTTGAGTGATATTAGCATCCCACACACTGGCAGCTTCCATGCTTGGAGTAATAACAGGCATGACTGATTTCTCCAGTTCCCCGTAACAACAACAACAACCAGTAAAAACACATGACACGTCAAAACAAGAGGGTTTGTATTGGCTGAATCCTTCAGAACTGACTGGTGATTTAACATGGCTGGTATCCCAAAGTTGTAAGCATGAACATGCTGCTTGCAAACCTAATTTTTTTTACTTCATCTGGTTGCGTTTCCATTGCGTCACTCTACAGCGGCAAGTCTGATCCCCTCCCAGTATTACGACATCTATTCAATCTGGAGATAAGCAAACCCATAAACATACTTGAACAGAGTGTAGATGGATGTTGACTGGATCTCCAAACTAGTCTCTATATCAGACGCAACACATTAGTTTCGAGAGGCAGCGCCCTGCTAATACCATGAAGCAGAGTGGTCGGGAAATGCTCTCCAGCAAGTGGGCCACTCATACTCATGTGCTCTGCATTTTCCATTTGACTGCCTCTGTACAGTACGGTCTCTGTAATCACACCAGCAGCATGAGACAAACCGTAAATGTTTACATATGCCTTCAAGGGGGCCGCTCCAAAGTCACTTCATATCCAGCCTTTCTCTCACCCTTTGTCACACTCAGACAAGCGCACACTGTGCTGTTAACAAGAATAGATGAGAGCTATTACGCTTTTTTATTACTCAATAAAGCAGAACACATGGGGCAAGTCCTAGCAAGAGTGGCGAGACAGGAAATAGCGAATGGAAACCTGTAGCTCAGGAGGGGTGTACATGGCCTGACGCTCACCGTTCTTCATGCTGCCCCTTTTGGAAATGGCATTTAAGAGCTTTGAGAACTTGGTAGTAGCACAAGTGGACATGACGTAGTACAGATATAAAATAAGTGATCCGGTTTTCAAGGCCCAGCTCGCTGAACCAGGACAAGCACAGAGTGAACAAGAGACGACTTCTCTTGAGGGCTCTCGCATTGACCCCAGCGACTCTGCCTCTTTGATTTATGGAACTCAGATGGAGTCTGGAGAGCTGGGAGGAGGAGATAAAAGGTTTCTTGAAATGAACACCTTTAGTGAAACCTGCTGCTGTATAAAGTAACACAGAAAGGGCCCCTTCACCTGGTGCACTGCAGTCCAGAAAACTTCTCATCAGTAAGACAGACTGGGCACTGAGAAACCAGAACTGCGGAGAACCTGTGAGCCCCATCAGAATGTGTTTTTGCATTTAGGAAACAGAAAAAAAGATTAGTAAACCCCCTTTGCTCATTGGCCCGAGCTATTCTGGGTTCAGTAAAAACAAAACCCCCACAATAATCAAACCTAACTGCTAAATTACAGAGATGAGCAGTTCGAAAAACGTCTCACAATCATGGGAGCCTTTACCCCACAGAACCACAGCAGAAAAAGGCATCCAGATCCAATGCTGATTGCTAATAATGAGTCAGTGCGTTACTGGCCAAGACACATGGTACAGCTCTGTAAAATCCCTCTACTCCTCACCCTACTGGAAACAATGAGTCAGCCAAGGCCTTTTGTTTCAAGTTTATCTGTGTGAAAATAATGTGAGGCTCCAACTTAGACACGCTGGGTAAAAAAAAAAGTTTTTTTTTATGTTGCTCAGGCTTCAAATAAGTTGCTTAGTTTGTCTTGAAAATAGGCCGTAGGTCTTGGATCCTCTGCCATGCTTTCCTGACAGGATGAAGAGTTTCGTTGTTCCTGCAGATCCCATTGAACGTGCGAATCCTCCATGTGGCCTGGCAAAGGGGCAAATTAATAAGGGCATTGTTTTGTCCTTTGTGAGCCAAGGCTGGGGACATCAGCAAAAAAATTTCTGATTTAGAAATGCTCCATTTCCTCTGGAGATTTGAGGACACTGCGGCTTTTCAGCGGAGACAAAATATGAAGAACAGAAAGTTGTGTAATTGCCCTTACATAACCTCGATATAAATTTTACGAACTGGATGATAACCACCATTAACAGTAAGCACCATTGTTTGCAGGCTTGTTTTTCATTGGAGGTAGGATCAGGATAGTTCATGTAGCTCAACTTAACCTCATTCTTTGTAGGCTAGGCCTCAGGGATCAGGAAGACGAATCCAACTGACAGGGCTCTGTCTGGGTTTGACTCGCAGTCTAAAGCCTCGTACACACCGGGACGATTATCATGCGCGCTTATTGCCAGCGTTTTTCGAGACGTTTTTTGATGCGTCTTGTGTGTTCATACCCAAGCGATTTTCGCTGGCGATGAGCCGAGTGAACATGCAAATTCACTCCCTGGCATTAGATGGCGCTTAATGAAAAACAGAAATACCCCGGTACACATCGAATCCTATTTGATCTGCAATTCATCTCCATAACAAATCCCTCTTATCGAGATTTTTGTAGTCGCTGTCGCTGTCGCGTTTGTCATAAAGCCCTTTGTGTTCAGACAGCAATGAGACCAGCAGCTCTACATTCAACTTGCCTCGATGCATCTTGTTCGTCGTTAGGTATCAATGTGTGCTCGACAAGACCGTTTTGTGATTGAGCGCCACCAAGTCGTGTTTTACTGTAACTTCAGCAGCTCCAGGCACGTGAACAAATGCGTCAATCTCATTGGTTGGCCAGTTTTTCACGTGGCGAGGCAAACCCAAAAAAATTAGCCCGAGGCATTTAAAAAAAATAAATAAATAACGCTTTTACGCCTGGCGTTTTGTGTGTCGGTGTGCACACTTACATTGGCGCCCTTTGTTTAGTCACGAGGCATTAAATGCGCGTGATTATCGTCCCGGTGTGCACAAGCCTTAAAAGTGTACCGCACAGCCCATTTTACTTTCAGGAGTTTGGGCTTTGGTACCCATGTATGCAATGCCCTCTGCTGAAAGCAGAACACTGAGTCCTGAGAGTACGGACATTTGCAGCTGTGACAGGGTGAGTCATTCTGTTTAGCTCTTAAATAGAAAGGGGGTTTCTGTTCAACAATGACACTTGCACATAAGTACAGACAGAAATCTGCACGTGTGCTTAAGTGTACGCACACACATACACTATGTCTCAATGAGTACTGGTAAACCAGCACCTGTGAAACGAATGAATCTTAAGGGAAACATGGCTAATGCAGAGGCTTTCGTTTGTTACTTCCATATTCACATGGATGCACGTGTGGCTGGAATACAGAGCAGCAGCTGCAGTCTGAGATGTGAGCAAATGACGGTTCCTAGAAGAAAACCCACCAGTTCTTGCACGTCTTTTCACCAATTGACCCGGCAAGAAGGAACGAATTTCCAGAAATTACCCAACACCTGGGTAAATCAGTAACCAAAAATTAACCGCCTCTCAGCAGGACAATTCTCTCAATGTCTAGCTAATATGAGCTTGGGGAAGTGTCTCAAAACATAACTAAAGCGTGAAGTTCAAAGCAGCAAACATTGTGCTTTGGTGACATTTTGATCAGGTTCCAATCAAGCTTTTGCAAACAGGTCGGTTCTATGTTGGTCATCAGTGACAATGCAAAACACAATTTTGCATTAATGTATATGTGTTAACAACCTAGTCATTGATATTTTTAATTATTCCATATGGGAAACACAAATAACACATTGTAGATATGGTTTTCCAAAGTCTCAGCATGATATAGGGCTGTGTGTGAGGTTTTAGGGTTTGGTGGGGAAATGTAAAAAAAGGATGTTTTCTTGTCTGCTGCTTTCAGTAACTTATTTTCTGTAGAAACCATAACGATTTTCTTCTGG